AACTCAGTAATGCTCAGATGAAACACCTGAGCAAGTCTTGCTCAGTCCCCCCAAGCACTACCTTTCAAATCAAGGCTCCACTGTGTACCTCGATGCGCTTCTTGAACTCGCTGCATGATTAATCAGAACAATATTGGTACTAGGTACTACAAAATTCAAAGCAAATATAACACATGGCGCAACCCGAAATGGGAATGAGTGTCTTGTTCCTTCCCCGTAAATTTCTCCGAACTTTTTCCGTCAGTTTTTTGAGCATCTGAATGTTGGGGGCTGATTAATCAAGGGTATTTTTTCTGTATGGAAACTTTTATCGAGCTCTTCCTGTTCTGTTCTTCTCATCTCACAAACGAGAACACTTATGCTACACTTTCACCTGGTCTTTGAACCATGATCTGGTGTTCAAAGGGAACAGGTAATGGAAACATCAAGTCATCATTAAAAGGCTGTTCACATAAGAAACCATTTGTTAACAAAAGGAAGGCGACACTTGACGCTTAAGTGTTCGAATGATCGAGCAATTCAATGCAAATTTCGTCTGTGAAAACCATTTGTAGTGATTGAAAGTTTTTTCTGAGGGAACCCGAGAATCTGTTTAATGTGAAACACTGCAAACGAAGATAAGGATAAAGCTGTGCCAGATCCGTCATTTGCACTAGCGGAATGGAAAGAAAGCACAACGAGTAGAGAGCAGAATAACGTTCGCTTCCACTCTTTCGAGATCCAGTATTCCAACGGGTTTCAGAGAAAACTGTGTTCTATAGTAGCTGGATGGCGTATTTTTGAATGATTAAGCTAAGAAAAGGCTTGAGGATTGGCTATCCGAGAGAGGACATTACACTTACTAATTATAAATTCATCCAGGGATGCGCCATGCATTCGATTTCAATTTAGTATTGTAGCTACATCCTATTCATCCAACCAGTTCGTTATCCCTGCCTAGAACCTAAAGCCGGATTTTGTCAAATAGGAAGACTTGGGAGGTAAACAACATTAATTGCTCATAGATCAATCACTACAGTTTATTGTTTGCAATAAAGTCACATTCAATTCGACCTACAGTACTGACTGAATGTGAGGTGCGTTGCGCAAACAAGAGGGTGCCTGAGAGACCCCAATCACTCTGCCACTTTAGTGAAAAAAAGCCACAAAAGCGGTTAACTATGAAACATGAAAGATCAACGGAGGCGTTCGATTATAACCGGTTCACAGCCTTTCTATTTCAAGCTTTACGGGTTTCCTATGAACTTTTTCATGGCCAGCAATAGAAAGCAACTGCTTCTTTCAAAGTCGACCACCGCCAACAGTCTATCTGCAAACGGGCCGGTATGGTACATTCAGACACCCATACGTCGTTCCTTTTGATCAAGAAATGCCAATAACTGACGTAAAGTGGCTTATGTATTTCCCATTCTGACGTGATTCCTCATATCTGGGGTGAAGGTAGGTTGGTTCAAAGGTAGAGGGAGCCGTTTTTGAGCACGATTTGATGGGCAGATCAAGGTTGAATAAGGCTCAAATGAATTTGCTCTCCTACGAGTTTGTTCACCGGATCTACTTAGGTCTGGAACCGCTTTAGAGGTGTTACCATGCTATTTTCATCATTGACATAGTAAATCAGTAAAATAACCTTCCAAAACCATAAAATGTTTAAGAGAAGATAGAATATGTGTCGCAGTCCGAGGTAGTGGGTATGAAGATCTCGTAGCGATTTGTAGGAAAACCGGTGACTACAGAAAATCCGGTGGTCATGCAACGAAACCGAGACGAAAACAAATATGTTGAAAATGTAGAAAATCTTATAGAAAATGAAAGTTGACGGAACTAGCTCCCATACTGAACGGGCATGCATCAGTTATGTTGAGAAAAATCGCTACGAATGGATAGAAACTGAAAAACAACACATTACACTACTACATACACATCGATTATTCATTGGAAATGAACTGGAGAATCATCTGACACAACAATTTACCATTGGATTTGATTAGTAGGTGTTGACGGTTATTCCATTTGATTTTCAGGGTTATTTATGAGATAATTTAAGAAATCATTAAAAAAGTAAAATAGCAGTAAGATACACTATATGACATGGTAAAATTTTATAATATAGTGTATAGTATTATAAAAAGATGTATTGGGCTCAAAAATACTGTGCTAAGCATTCTTTTACTTCTTATGCCTATGACTGACCCAAAAGACAAAATCGGAATTGGCCCCCACCTTTCATATAATCGAAGCATATTCAAGGGAATTAATGTGCAACATTAATAGTAACATTAACCAGTAAATGATAGTAATAATATCAAGTGGAAATGACTTTAACAAGAAAAATTGCAAGAAAACAACAAACAAAATAATGAATAAGATGATTGGGTGGCCGATGGAACCTTCTCGAAATGGATCGTAGGATGGGATGGTGTGCGCAATAAATGCCTTCCCCGTCTGGCCATGATCCCTGCGGCCATGATCTCCCTATCCAACAAATGGGAGTCGATAAGTCAATCAATCGATAGCCGTATCAAATCAGGATCAATACTTTTTCTAATCCGCCATGTAATCGCACATTTTCTTTGAAGCTACTTATTCCTCACCAAAGAGGCCATGACAATAACAAAAAAATGATCAATTATTCCAAAGAAACCTCGCAGACAGATCGATTTTCGTAAGAAAAATTGGTTTGACTACCAGCAGTAAGCGAAAAAATAGATTGATCGTTAAAAACGGCAAGAATAAAGGATATTTTGAACACTTTCCCTCATATTTCATCCGCAAAATTGAGAGGTTATGTCGTCTCAAGAGTGTTCCTCACTCAGAAGAGGTATGCTCCTATGTTCAGCCAATTTACTGTAATTCTTACTCATTTTTACATTGTGATTTTAAGTTTTTCCGAGAATTTTGTGAAAACGTCGGGAAATTAAACGAAATTCCTCCTCAAAATTTTCAGACATCACGCATACCAGACCGAAATACTTCTGTAATCCACCGGCCCTGTACTTCCCCTCATCAGTGGATCCTCACAGAATACACAGAAACGAGATTTGAAGCGGGACCCCGATAAGGATGGGACGAACTAGAAAATTTTCAAAAAAATTAATATCCCTACTAGTGTACGGTCTCGACATTGACACAGTTGTAGGTCTTTTCGGCTGTTTCCCGTTTTCCTAGATCTCTTTCCAATAAGAAAATACAAGAAGTAAACAGAATAATGAAAACAGTCATCATTTTTCTTATCATTGAAGTCACAATTGTTGACATACTATTGTATTGTTGACATACTAGAAAACAACTGGTAAGGGCAGTGAAATATGATAGAGTGTAGGACAAATGGAGAAGATACTTCAAGGGCAGTTCCCTTCAGTCAGTGCGTCGTGCAAAAAAGTGTGACCGTTTCCGTCAACAACAATAGAGATTAGATGAATGGGAAATTGCTATCGAAATCGTAGCTCGAAAAAAACACATGTCCTCTGAAAGGAAACTTTCGAAGTGGGAAGCCCGTTTGAACCCTTCCCTGTTCAAACACAAACAGAAGTCTTTTTTTTTTTGGGTAGGCACGGCAAGCAACGATGAATCCTGGTGTAAAGAGTAAAGCGAACTTAACGACCTCACGCTTACTCCTGTTGTTCCAATATTGCATTTTATTCCCTTGTTTACTTGCTTATTTATTTATTTATTTACCTCCAAACTTTGATTCCCATGCACCGGTGTATGTGTGCGTTTATTTCATTATTCGATTACGTTACTCTCCCTGATCGTACCTTCTCTGAGTGCATCTTTTGTCTCAATAGCTGCACAAAGGCAGCACATGCTGGTATGGAAAACCCGCAGACTTTATGTCCCACATGTTGCTGTGTTGATTGCAAATCAAGTATCACCCACATCGCCTGTGCCCCTTGATCCTCGTCTTCTATTGGATGCCAGTAACGCCTCCGTTCATCCCTGTCACGAGCCAGAGGAGTTCAGCGGGGACACGAGGCATAACATTCCCTTAGTTCAAAGCTTTCGTGGAGGTATCGACCTTCTCAATGGATGCCGTAGTGATGTTCATTTGATGTTCTGGTAGAGCCATAAATCGCATAAAGTGTCTGGTTCACCTGACTTCGACTCCTTGGCGTGGGCAAAGATATCGAACCCCTGATCTCCAGCTGCATACGCATGTAGAAGAAATAGAAATGGGAGATGGTGAATGCACGATAACCCCGGTTGAAGAGCCGTGGATGGCCCAGAATTAGGAACCTAAGCTGATCGCAAGCCCAGTCTACCAGAAGGCACTTCTTGTATCCCTGGTTTACAGGAAAAGAGGAATCGAAAAATCACGAAAGGCCTTCGATGACTTATGGGCGCAGTTCACGAAGAATTTATGGGTACTCTATACTAGTCGTAAAGTGGAAGTATAGGTTGGAAATAGTTCCTCGGGACTTCGAGAGAAATAAGGCTTACTAAAAGTAGAGAAAATAGGGGTTGGACGAGATTACCATGAGGGAAATCAAATGAAAGGTGTATTAGGATGAAGTTTCAGTTGTTGCAATTGCGTGAACAGCTGGCTACATCAAGCCAAGACTGCCCAGAGTTGCCCTTCACTGCCGTTGTTGGCCATGACAAGTTGTGAACTTCCTTCATGGGTTCCCTACTCTTTTTCCGTTTCCCGACCTGTTAGCGCCAGATATGGCATACAAGGGGGGCTCGAATTCATCTTATGGGCAAATCTCAGAAACCATTTGTATCGTGAACTGTGCCTTTGATCACTTGGCAGCTTTCCCATGGATGGTCCTATGGCGCGCTAATATTACCATTAAGTGGATAACATGCTATGTCTTTGGTAGTAACGTTTGCGATAACAAAAATGCTGTAATCTCGCTTTTTTGGAGTGTGAGTCGAGTCAAGGCCCACTCAACTTAACTTCTGGAAATATTCAAGCCCATCTCTTTTATCACATAAGCAATCAGGAGATGGGGACACGATTAAAAAGTTGATATTACTTGCATAAATAGCTCTAATAACGTCTACTGCGTGATACAGCTTAATTTCCGATCCTTTGGAATTTGAGCTGCTGCGGACATTTTTCGTCGATAGCCACGTAGTTGTTCGAGAGCATAATTGTGACCGATTTCAAACGCCTCCTCGAAGACTTCGTCTATGCCTTCCTGCAAAAAAATCTATTCATTATTTATAATTTCATGTTTTTTTTACTACTACACACTATTGTTCATGTTTGAAAGTTGAAAAAAGCAAACAAAAGCCATTTGCAATCAGGATAGCGTGAATGGCACCCAACTAGAACTGACAGTTCCGTTCATAAGAAAAGCTGATACAAAACAAGCCTTTTCCTGGATAAAGGCCTATTCAAGAAAAGAGTAAGTAGGAACTTCTCCAGAAAAAAAAAAGCTGGAGAAGAATAGTTTCTAGGAAGAAATCAGTTAAAATGGAGAACTACAATAAAAATACATCCAGAAAGTCTCCCTCGAAAACTTATCCAGAGCGTAACTTTTTCACGATTTTCCATCCAATATAAATCGCAAACTATCAAAAAGTATCCCAAAATCTCAAGACCAATCATAGTTGATTATTATTTTAAAAGTGAGGTGACCACTACTCTAGAAGATGGGGCTGAGAAGAGTTAGGTTACAAGGGGAGTGTCTTGTTAAACCACTAGAAAGCCTCGAGCTTGCACCATGGATTCCGCCAAGAGATTCCAACGAAGGCAGGTTCGATTCATTTAGAAGACAGGAAGGATCAGAAATCACCTTTCTAAGTTGATCACTTTTTAGTGGAGGCACCATAAAATATTCACGAATTCAACCAGAACAGCAAGTTTTCGAGTAAGAACTTGGACCCCCAATTTTGTGACCTTTACTAAGTCTTAAGAAGGAGGTGGTCAATTAGCAAGTTGCTCTTTATCACAACGCATGTTCAACGGATCGAGTCCTGGATTGAAACCAGCCCAGGCCATTCTACCCTACGGGATTGGTTAGACTCATACGGGAGAATAAAAGTACTGACTTGTACATCAGCGGGTCATCGCAAGTCACTCCATACAAACGTCTCTACGATTCTGAATGGAAATCGAGTGGGGTGGCACATCTCGGGATTTTACATTCTAATCGAAACCCGCCCGAACTCCTAACAAGCCCAGAGTGTTTTATCTCTCACAAATATACTCCAAGTGCTGAACGTCTTACGCTTTGCGTCCGCTCGCAGTGAATTTCAACTAGAAGACAGAAAATTTCCCGTTACAACCTTATCATAGTACTTGCTACGAAAACGGATGTCTTGTTATCATGCCTAAAGGTACCACTTGAACTCTGAACGCAGGCAGGGCTAAACAATCGACAGGTGGCCAAGCAATCAGAAGGATCTGCTGCGCCGGTTGCTCCTGCCTCGGAGAGGAGTTAGTACTAGCTAGACTAGGCTAGACTTGGACTTCAGAATTCGGCACCTATGGAGCTACTGGTGGAAGCGCTCGTCAGAGGCGAACGACAGATGTGGGAACAAGTCTCCGAGGGTGCCTTCATGCAGAACTAAGGCTTCCTATCTCAAAATGCACACTTTTGAAGTCTGTTGGAGAATTTATGAAGTAGACACTAAGCCTGACAAGGGCTAAATGTCGTCCCGTCTTCGATCTGCCCGTAGCAACTCGACAACAGATTATTATAGAAGCAGGCGCTGCTATGATACTATCGTACCATCGAGCGATTTCCTTCTTTCGACCAATCGTTCTTTGGAGAGGTGGATGGGCCGGATGGGCTTGATGGCCGTAGATGTTTCTAACGAGATCTGAGTCGGAGAGCAGAATACTTAATCCAGTGCACCTCGTTGAGTTGGGGGAAGAGCCTAGCTCGCGGTCAATCATTGAACGACAGCTTTTCAGGAGCTGGGAACCGTGGCCACGAATGAGTGGTGAAATTGATATCACCATCCTCAAAAACCTGTCGGCATCCATGCCGTAGTTCATGGGGCTGGTATCCCGAAAAAGCGAACCTTCGCGGGTGCTAGTAAAGGCGTAAGACCATACAGGTAAAGCAGAGTTTCTTTTGGATTGAGTTTTTTAAATAAAGATAATAGTAACAAAGGCGACTTTTATATATTCAAAAGTACTTACTCCTGTAACCTCGGAGCACTCTAGGTATTTGCTAGCACCAATTCGTTTTGCGTACGATTCTGCTTTGTTCATAGGCATTGGTAGATACTTCATCTGACCACAGCCATAGTTCTCGATCAGCATTGATAGACGTTTGTCGATTTGAGTTCCGACGAGAACGTACGGTACCCCACGAATACGTTCCACCAATGTGTTGAAGATCTGCAACGACCAATTGCACTGACAATACAAGAAAAAGATGTGCACATGGCGCAATCCTTCTCGATCAGATTGAGCTCATTTACGTTGACTACTTCTTGTCATGTATAGCTGTACTCACCAGTTGAACTGTTTCCTCTGCACTTGTTTGCCTTGCTACTGACAAACAGAGCAAGAACACATGAGGATCATCGAAACCTCGATCCGTATGCTCCATGGAAACGGCTTTGAAAATGCATTTCCGACCATTGAATGCCGTTATAAGCTCTTTTTTCTGAAAATCACCGTTTCATAAAAGGCCACATCAATAAATTGAAATTATTACATATTCCCTCGGCGATACCGTAGTTCTCTCATATGGGATTGAGAAGCTTCTACTGAGCTCCTAGAAGCTGATGTGGTATTCCGAAAATAGCATGGACAGCAGGAATTATCGCCTATCCAGTACTGAGAAAAGCGAAGCAGGCTGGAGATTAGGCAACATCTAGCAAAATTTTCTTGGTATATTACCAAGATTGACCAACGTACCCATCAGGCCAACAACTACCATCGAAGAAGTTCAGTCTTCAGCAGCAGCTTTATGTTAGGCTCTGACCCCTTGATAGCCAGATAGCCTTCTCGACACCGGTTTAGTAATCTGGTTATTTCGCCCGCAAACGTCTTAGTGTCAAGATTCCGCTCGGATATCACCGGTAGCAACATCTAAACCGACGAAACATCTCTGCATGTGTGGTTCCCCTTTGACTCGACGACAGGCCTACGTACATAGCTGTTACTCGACCCCCGACAGTAGACCCCCTAGCAGGAATTCGTTTCCGCAATAAACCTCCCAAGCAGAAATTTCAATGCTGACGTTAGCATGACGCAAGTTCTTATTTAAGAAAAAGAGGATTTAGATGCCTGAATGAATTTCAACAAAATTGAATGTCTCTTCAGACTACAATGAATCAACCTATTCTCGGCTGAAAGGATTTACTACTGACAATCACGCCTTATTCCGAAAATTTCCATCTTTGTTCTGGTACGAAAAAGGGCCGTTGGCGGAACAGAAAAAGGGACATTTTGAACCATTTCAAGACATTTCTCATGAACTTCCTTCCACTCTTAAATCAGAAAACTTCAGTTCACAGTGGAAAATTCAGCTTTTCCTCCCAAAAGCAGAATAAAAAAAGGTGTGACACAGTTTGAGCGCCCATGCGGCAGTGGCAAAAAGCGCACTATCGCATGGGTGGTATGAGGATCAATCCCAGAATAATATTGGCTTTGCTTACATCCTCCGAACGTCCCATATATCTTCCGCTCAATTCACAATTTCAAGCTCCAATAAGATTTCAATCCAGATGTGGTTTTTACACATTCCACGCTCGGTGACTGACAATGGCCAAAGCCTTTCTGGGAAGCAAAAATCCTAAACTGGCTATTTCCCTGAAGTCATTACCATACCACACCACACACCAAATGGCATTAAGTAGCCATTACTGTAAGAAATGAAAGCCCTACGAAGCTCGTAAGCCAGAAATTACGACACAATAAGGTTTTTTCTATTTAATGGTTACCTGGTCATTGTATGGCAGTCCATTGAACTCAGCATACTTTTCCATCATCATCGTTATGACGGATTCGTCATCGCCAATCACTACACCTCGAACCAGTTCAATATCCGACAGATTCGACAATTTTCTTTGTTCCGTATTGGTATGACCCGTGTTCGCCATATTGCTGCAAGAAAAAAGAATTTTTCAAGACTACAGTCATCCTCGACTTCGTAAAAAGGTGTACACGCTACAGAACACGGTTTTTGTTTGTTCATTTGAAACCTGTAATGCACCTAAAGAATACGGGATAACAACAACGAATGAGTAAATAAAAGCAAAAGGGAGCTCATTCGAAAGGATCTGGCAATAAAACTGAAAGCGACGACGTTGAGATTGAAATGGCACACACTCAAGATAATCCTGAAGTCGCTCAAAAGGTCGAAGATGAGGAAAAGAAAAAAAAAATTTAACTATTTGGCCAAATATCAAGACTTTGGATAGACTTCCCCGTAGAATGCAAGAGAATGTGAGGTCCTGAGGCTTTAAAAGAAATCTTTCACCTCGATGTTGCACATGCCCGCAGCCAGTAATCAGTGGGTGCAGCCGCACTGAGCTACTGGGAAGAGAAATGGGGTAGCAATGGGTTCATCTGGAATAGAAGAAGAAGTTCCCAGCGAAAATTGCCAGTGGCAGATAAGTGAAGTGCAATTTTTTGATTCAGAGTGCTCTAAATATAGTTTTGCGCGAATGATATGAAAGGCTCTTTGAATGAGTGAAAGANGCAGCCAGTAATCAGTGGGTGCAGCCGCACTGAGCTACTGGGAAGAGAAATGGGGTAGCAATGGGTTCATCTGGAATAGAAGAAGAAGTTCCCAGCGAAAATTGCCAATGGCAGATAAGTGAAGTGCAATTTTTTGAGTCACAATGTCCTAAATATAGTTTTGCGCGAATGATATGAAAGGCTCTTTGAATGAGTGAAAGAGTGGCACATTTCTTGGAATAGTGGCATATGAAAATGGTGTTCCTTAATGGTAATCCATGGAATGTGTCGCTCCTCATGAAAAAACGACCAACATAACAAACAAAAACTAGGTATGATGTTCAGCCGATCAAGCGGATGACACATGAGAGCTCCCAAGTTACAATGCCAAGTCAAAAATAACTTTAAAGACTCTCAGTCCCTCAAAGTTTCGTCAGCGCTTCGGGTAAACAGATAAACAAGCAACAAAGCAGAGTGGTCTGAACTTTAAAGAACATCTAGCTACTGCTAAAACTACACGCAAGTATAAGTGCCAATGTCCATCCGTACCAATTGTTCTGCAAATTGAGTAATAATAACTACTATTTGTAAGTCAGAAAATTGACCCTTCACCAATTACTTCCATTATTAGAAGTGGGGTGATATTGATGCACAGAATTTAAGAAAAGTAATTTCAACTTTGAAAAATAATTTGAACGATAATAAATTTAACAGGGAGGCACGAAATATCCTTTTGACGAGAAACGAAACACAAAATAAGACGTTCGACGATGTTCTAATTCTACTGATAATATATGCAATTTGCTTTTACTATGCTTTCCACTGCTCAAGACAGAGTTTGAACGAACGAGGAATTAATCGAACCGATAAGACGAGGAGCATGGCGCATTCTATAGCCATCAATCCATGCCACTTCCTTCTGAAAGCCCATCACTCGAACGCAGTTTGTAGAACTTGGAAGAACGATTCGGTTGGCAACTAAGTAGCAACCTATTTTTCTCGTACTTCAAACATTTACCTTGAAGAGCAACTGCTTGACCAGGTATCTGAATATTTTAGGGTCAATACATTTGAATAGATATTTCTTTTTTTGCGAAAAGAAAGGTGATAACATTTCCCTTAGATACACGCAATTATTTGGATGACTACTAATAGGAAAACTTCCTAAATTTTTGAGATGTTAAGGGCTGAAACTGAATGACCCGAATGATCACCTCAACTGCAAAGAAAGACCCCAAGTTTTCAATGACCCTAAGAATTTGGGAGAAAACTTTTTACGGATCTATAAAGAAACCCAGGCACACCAAGGGAGTCAAGCAGGCCCTTTTGGGTGCCTGGCTAAGGATCTGACTGCTTAGGGCACCATATATAATAGAATTAATAAATCAAGTAGGCGGATCCTGCAATGCAATACGACTTGTGGTTAGTAGGGAACGAAATGGCACATGATTGACTTACAGAAAGTAATTTGTGGGGTTTTTTTTATGAACAAAAAAGAAGTTATTCCTCGAATGACGTCAGGCCAATACTCTCCGCCTGTAGTTGGCACGAGAAGTGAGTAGCAGTAGTTATTTTCAGATGACGTTTCCTTTTGGAAAAAAAAAACGCAAAAAGGGTTCAATTAAGAGTGTATTTGAAGTCTATTAATTTAACACTTTTTTGCTGAAAAAAGGAGCCCCGTTCAGTAGGCTAATTGCAGAGTACAACACATTTCTCTGTAACAAGAAAGGCAGATCTGTGATTGCACGAAATATGCCAACTTTGCAGCTTGCCGCTGAACGAGAATGGGGTTGAGGAAAACCGCTAAATTGGACTCTCCCACAGTCAGCTCTCCGCCCACCCCAGGTGGCTGCGGTTCAGCCTTTGTTATTTAAAGGCTTGTTCGGAATAATTCTCCGTATATTAACAGATGGCAAACAGAGGAAGTGCGGCTCTGGCCGGTTCCTGCAGAATGCGCCATGCATTCAACAACATCTCAAACCGAAGAGGCATTTGAGCTGCACATTGGCTCGGAGTTGGCGAAAAGGACAGACATCAGTGCCCAATGGAATAACCTGACCTGTTCCAGAACAAACCTAAGCTTCGATAAATAAGGACGGAAGTTCCAAAAACCAAATGGTTAGCAACTTGTTGCAGTGGGAAAAGTGCTAAGCCATTCATAATGTGTTGCCGATTCATAATGGACAAATTGAAGCCTTTATGGATGCAGTAGTCACGCAATTACTGCCTCGTTCCGTTGGGAGCCGAATCACGGGAAAAGGAGGGAGGAGATTTATATTCTGTTAGAGTGCACTTGTCGAGCAATCCTTTCTACGAATCACATTCTCGTAGTGACTACTTGAGGTCGACGTAGTAGTCGATCCAACTGCTAAGAGTAAACGGGGTGAAAGCCAAATATAGCTAATCGATCCAACTGCTAAGAGTAAACGAGGTGAAAGCCAAATATAGCTAATAACTTTTTGATACTTATTAGCTTTGTTTTTAAAGGGGAAAAAACTTCATTACAAATCACCAAAACTATACAGTATATATAAAAGCTCAGTAGAGGCTTTGATGCCAATTAACCTCGTTTTTGAGATGCGCCCCGCATTCGACTTCCATTCCGAGTTGTAGTGGCGGGTATGAATGCGTATGTGACCTATGACTGACAACGATTTTTGTAGCCCAGCCGTTGCCAAAGTCAGTGTTTTTATCCTCCCAGACGAGTCACGCACCA